GTGTAGAGTCAGTTGTGAAGGGAATAGAAAGGCTCTTAGGTTTTCTTGGGTCGAAGTCGATTCAGCGGAAGAGAAGACTTTGGCAGGCTTGAGTGGACAAGACCTTCCAAAGAAAAGAAGTATATTTCAGTTTCTAGTTTGTGACGACGCGACGCCACCGCTCCATGTGTCACTGCCCAGAATGCAAGTGTTCCCCCTATCCTCTTTTCGGTTTTCTTTATTTTCTGGAAAAGTTGTTTCATGTCAGAAAGTCCTGCAAGGATCGAAGAGTTTTGTCCGCGAAATTCCCAGATGTATTACGATCAATTCGCTTCAAGTAACTCGAGTCCGATTTCAGTTATTGAATAGATTTTGGCTTCTACGGATTCCGGTGAATATACCTATCGCATCCTTTGAGAAGACATTTCTTATATACACTTTTGAATAACAATAACTCTTTTTCGAGCGGTTTCTCGTAAAAATAAATATTTATGGAAAAACAATAACTCAAATCTGTTGAAAAATATTTTCTCTAATCAGTCAGGAAAAAGAAAATTAAATTTTTGTGGCAACTCTGGTGAAAGACGTTTAGTTATTAATTCAAAAGAAGCATTTTGTATTTCGAGATTAGGAGTTGTGACTTTGGTCAAATCTGAATGTCACAAAATTTATTCTTGTCGACTATTAATTAGAAGATCAATATTCTGTATCAAGTTAAAGTTCAGTTTTTGTGAACAAAGAGTTGTTAAAATAACCCTGGCAGCATCAGAACATCCTACGGAATTCTGGTAGCGCCTCAAATAAGTTCGTTGGCACAACATTGTCCGGAAGGTCGTTTTGCATCGCGGCATCGTTCTTGGCACAATCCCCCAATAAGATTTTATTGATTGAAAATCGGAAAATCAATCCTGAATAAAGTTCAGCGGAACGGTTGTCAACTTACATCTTATTTTTAATTAAATATCAAACCTTAACCATTTTCTCCCATTTACAAGTGAAAATCGAGAATCAGAGGTGTCCGTTTTATAAAACCGCCAACGCATAGGTACCAGCTGAACAAAGCATAAATCAGAACGCGCCGAACATTCGTTACACAGGATACAGACCATGAAATACCGACTGTGTTGGTGTGCTCATTCCTTTCGTCCAGCCCTTCCTATACACGCGTTGTGTGTTACGCTCGACGAAGCGAATTCGTCCGATTGAGTCCAGAATAATTCGCAAAGCGCGCTAGTACGCTTTTGATGTTTCTGCCTCTGGAACGCGAGCTTTATCAACCATTCGCGTTATCCGTAACCAGATAACATTTTCTCTTTTGTCCAAGAACGAAGCTTTTCTACCTGACACCCACTTAACCACCCACAATCTCCTTTAACTTGCCCTCAGTCACCCGATAACTCCAGTGGATCCGCCCGCACCACACCAACGAAGAAGCAACGTGGTATCACGATTGGTACCTTGAGAATAAATTGAACTTCTCTCCCTCTTCACTCCGAAAGATAAATCGCGAATCTCTTTCTCCTTAGAAAAAAGCATACCAGAGGGAAAACTAAAACACAGGGCTAAATCTTCTGTCGAAAATTGATCTTAGGATGTCCACCCAGAAAAGGGGACTGCGAACCTAAGGTTTGATTTTAAACTTCGCACTCGGTAATTAATTTTTAAAAAGTAGCTTTCAAATTTAAAAAAAGTAGTAAAAAAGTAGCTATCGAAAAATTGAACTTGACAACCAAAAAAACTCGTCTTAGAAAAAAAATGTATTCCATATTTTATTTTCCTGACTAATCTTCACTTGACATCTGTTGTTCCGGTTATTAATTAGTTTGTATTTTCTAATAGTCCGAATCTATTTATAAACCATCAAACGCCCTCAGTTACGGAGCTAGAAGAGCCAGAGTCACAACTCGAGGGCGTTTAAGTCAGAGGAGCACTATAGGAACGAGGATTATAATGCACTTTGCTAATCTTGAATCCATTTGCCTATTTCACACATTACTCCGAATTCCCATCAACTAGTCCAAGATCACTTGTTACCTCATCAATAATTTTCGATTAAGTTACAAAACATATAAATTTGTTTCACAAACAGTATTGTTAGAATTAAAAAAAATTAGGATTAGAAAAATTAAGATTAAAAAATTAGCATTAAAAAAATTAAGATTACCTATAACCTGATTATCGCTAATCGAAGAGTAAGTAACCATTAATCGTATGTTGTCTAAGATCAATAACTCAAGTTTTGGAGGCGGATAACGAAGTTGAAGTCGTGTTTCAACTCATTTGGAGACGACGTGTGTATGTACAAGAGAGAGAGAGGCAGGTATTTAATACCTGCCTTTATCACACTGAGTGCTCTTGAATATAACTTACTATATCTGGCTTATACCACGCGTTCGGAGTCGCGAATATGAGTGGAGGTGAAATTCTGCAAGCGTTGAGTAAATTTCCTATACATAGGTAGTACAAGCATAATGCGGCACATTGATCTCACACTTAGACTATATCTGGATTATCTTCGCTGATTTAATTTATTACCGAGATATTACCGTCTGATATAGTCACTCGCTTGAATTACCGAGTCTGAAAATTTTACTAGAAGCGTACTGAATCCCAGTCGACGAGCTCCTCAAATGCTTTAATATATTCAGGAGCATCGATTAATCCATAAGGGGTTTTCTTAACAGAAGGGATTTTTCCTTATCAATGAAAATGATTTAAATTTAAATTAAAATAAATCTTCACAATTGACTTGTTCTATAATTAGTCGGATTTCTTGAATCATTAAAGAGGTGAATTTCTTGAATTAACAGATGGATCTGATTCTTAAAGTTGAAGAACTTGTTTGTAAATTGATTGATGATAATAATTTAGCAAAGATTAACAGAAAACCAAACTAAGAAGGATATTTATGATGAATGGGAGTTTTTTTATTTTTGAAATTGTAATTTATCTTTATTACAGTAAATATAAATTTATCTTTATTATAAAATATTTTACTGTTTTCATACTATAAGAAAATTGACAATATAATCTCATCGATTATTCAATATCATACGATCGTTGAAAAAATGTAGAATCTATAAAAAAAATGTATTGTGCAATTTTATTTTTAATCTTTAAAAAGGAGAATAAAGGAAAAAAGGCAATTAGTTGAGATTAATTAATTAATAGAACTATTGTCAACGCGAAACTTGAAATGCCACAACCAGCGATCCGCGAATTCAAGAAAATATCTAACTATTAATTAAAGCTAGATTTTGGAATAGAGAGAATTCAATGTAACAAATTACTGGTATTCTCTCATGCATTAAATCCTTGCGATTGTGGTTTTTAACTAATTGTTAGTTGGCTCTCTTAATAAAATTGAAATCGTTATTAATTTCTACAAAAAAAAAATAATTTTTTTCAAATATAATCCATATAGTCAAGTTCACTTCTTTACAGAGGCAACTGGATTACAGGTTGGATTTATCTTTCGCAATTCACTTTCATTCCAGAATGTTCCAGGACAAAGGAGTTTTCGGACCTGCAATGCCTTCTGCTTTTATCCCCTTTGTATTTCTTTCCCTTTTGCACTTTACTGCAAGTGCTGCAATGATTTTTACTAACTTTAAAAGAAGAAATTTCCTCCACTGACGAGAATTTCTTTTAGATTACTTTTTCTGATTTTATTATTCAAAATTTAATTAGAATAAAATTTATTGTTTTATTTATGAATTGTTTTTTAAATTTTAATTAAAATTTTATAGGAAAAATTTAATAATTTTTTAATAATTCTCTATCGTAATTTATTATCGAATTTATTTCTTTGTGTTTAACTCGAATTATTTCTTTAAAACCGATTTTATTTTTTATTTGTTTAACTGTTTGTGGTTCTTGGACAGTAATTACGATTTATTGCTTAACTCCAGATGTTTTTCTTGATTCTCGCTTTAGAGCAAATAGAGGTTTCTGAACCTCTTGATCTTTTGCCGTAAATATTCGAGAAAACTAATCAAGAAAAACACATCCTTGGGGATATTACCTTGATCAACGACAAGTTGAGAATTTTCCGTCCAAGGCTCTCTTTTTCTTCCTCGTTTTATTAATCACAAGTTATTTACCGACTTCGCATTAAGTAGATAGAAATTGCGATGGAACGAAAGTAGTCGCTTCTTGGGAATTGGAGCATCTTTGAGTGATTGGCTTTTGCTTTTCAATTACGATATTTGCTGTTGATGAATCGTATTTCTTCGAAAATTTACATTTTCTACTATCATGGTAAATAAATTGTCTGTCGTGGTAAATTTTTTTTTTCGATAGCAGGACAATTATTATTAGAGGCCAATGTTCTTAATGCTTAAGTAACAATATCCGAGATGTGATCATTAAATGAATAATTACTAGTAAATAATACTTTCAAATCACGTACCCTTGTTACCCTTGATCCTTTATGATGTAATCTTCTTTGAAAGAATTTTTGGACTTGTAAAGTTTTGGGAATTATAAGGGTAGAATTTGCAACTATTTACTTTACTCGAGAATATTTAAATAACAAATTAACATCACGACCCATTACTAGAAAACTATTTCTCTGCACAACGAAACTTCACCAATCTCATTGAGGAATTCCTCTAAAAAAAACTGCGACGTAAAAACAGCTTTGGACACAACGCACCCTTTTTAAATAATTAACACCTAAAATGGTCTTGGAAAGGTTCATTGGTCATGTGACGTTCGCTGACAATTAATCATGCGCGAAATCATTTAAATTCAGATTTCACGAGAGACACAGGTCTCGAGTCGTTGAACCAAGGACAAATACAAGGGACTTGACAAGAAACAAGACAAACTTATGATAAGAGAGAGACGGTCGAACAAATACTTTTCCTACGCGTTGCAAATTAGGTTGAGTAAGTAACGATTTGCCTCGTTACAGAATTTATAAAAATTGTTTCATTGAAAGTATTTGAGGTCTGGTGGAATTTAGGGAGGAAAAGGCAGATGTTAGTTTTTTTATTTTCCTTTATTTATTTCTACAAAATAATAATCGGAACTATTGACAATTTCATTAAGCACTGGCGTTGGCTTCAGCATTGGCACTGGCACTTCCACTAGCGTTGGCACTGGCATTTGCGACGGCATTGGCAATTCCTGCACCTCTATTTAGACTATTTCCATTGGCACTAGCATTCGCGTTAGCTACAGCGTTCGCATTTCCTGCTCCTCTATTTAGACTATTTCCGCTGGCATTAGCATTAGCTACTGCTGTGGCACTGGCATTTCCTGCACCTCTATTTGGACTATTTCCGCTGGCATTGGCATTAGCATTAGCTGTCGCACTAGCAGCTCCTGCACCTCTTAAATTATTTCCGTTGGCATTGGCATTGGCATTAGCTGTCGCACTAGCAGCTCCTGCACCTTTATTTAGATTATGTCCACCGGCATTAGTGTTCGCTTTGGAGTTGGCTCCAGCATTGATTTTAGTGTTACCGTGGGAATTGGCACTGGCTCCAGCGTTAGCGTTGGCATTTCCACTTGGACGACTTGGAGCAGCTGGGAAGATGTTTTGCGTATTTCCTCCAGCGTTGGCATTGGCGTTGGCACTAGCTGCAGCGTTAGCATTAGCATTACCGCTTGGATGACTTGGAACAGCTGGGTAGACAGTTTGCGCATTTCCTCCAGCATTGGCATTGGCACTGGCTGCAGCGTTAGCGTTGGCATTTCCACTTGGACGACTTGGAGCAGCTGGGAAGATGTTTTGCGCATTTCCTCCAGCATTGGCACTGGCTGCAGCGTTAGCGTTAGCATTACCTGGATGACTTGGAACAGCTGGGTAAACATTTTGCGTATTTCCTCCAGCGTTGGCGTTAGCATTAGCATTAGCTTCAACATCAGCTACAGGGGTAAAAACAGGCGCAACTGGCAAAGATGGCTGAACAAATCCATTGTTGTCGATGTTAGCATTAGCATTCGCATTGGCATCGGCTCCAGAGCTTGGATTTTGGGGATATGGGTATGGATAGTTTGGTGGTATAGGATAATAATATACACCACCCTGGGTGTTTGCATTTGCTTGAGCATTTGCATTCGCATCTGTATAGATTGGATAAACAGGATATACTGGGTATGTCCATTGTACACCACCATTGGCGTTAGTGTTCGTAGCAACATTAGTCAAATCTAAATCATGTGGGTAGTACACCTCAAAAGTTGTGCCTTCGGGAAAATTGAAGATAGCATTACCGTTGGCATTAGCGTTCGCATTAGCTTCTGCGTTAGCGTTAGAACCACTTGATGGTGGATAGTAGTAGATAGGACCGTTGCCAGTTGTACCAGCGTTTGCTTCAGCAGTTGCGGTTGCAGTTGCTCCACCAGTGGAAACTGGAATAGCTGGGTAATATACAGGAGCATAATTACCTTGAGCTCCAGCATTGGCGGTTGCTGTTGCTGTTGCGGCAGTATTTGCAGTTGCTGGACCAGGTTGGTAATATCCAGGAGCATTATTTCCTTGCGCTTCAGCATTGGCGGTTGCTGTTGCTGTGGCGGCAGTATTTGCAGTTGCAGGACCAGGCTGATAATAACCAGGAGCATTGTTTCCTTGAGCTCCAGCATTGGCGGTTGCCGTTGCTGTTGCACCAGCATTTGTAGTTGCTGCACCAGGTTGATAATATCCAGGAGCATTGTTTCCTTGCGCTCCAGCAGTGGCGGTTGCACCAGCATTTGCAGTTTGTCCAGTTGGGTTGTGAGGATGTGGTGGTTCTTGACCAGTAGTTGGAGGAGGTGGGTAGTATGCAGGTGGTCCTGGAGGGTAGTAAACAATTGGAGGTGTCTGTGTTCCTGGTTCTAGTTTTTCTATAAAAGACAAACAATTATTATTCATTCTATTAATTGGAGGTGAATCATTTTTAATTAGTCGAATCATTTAAAAATACTTACCACAAACGCATTTGTACGGAACATAACCGTCTTGACCTTGTCCTCCTGTAGCTTGTTCATTATGTTGAACATTATTGGTATTCCACGATCCACCATGACTCGAGCTTCCTTGTTGTCCATAAACCCATCCGGTGGGACCGTATGCCCATCCATGTTGACCATGTACATATCCATTTTGACCACCATGCTCAAACTGCCAATTCTGTCCATTCTGTCCGCCGTGCTCAAAATTCCATTCCTGACGACCTCCATTGTATCCACTTCCATATTGACCACTACTCCATCGATTATCACTTGTCCATCCTGTTTGTCCACTTCCTTGTTGAGAATGACCTCCAGCCCATCCACCTTGAACATTATTCCAACCACTATTCACATCAGTAAAAGCTCCAGCTTGAGCGTCTGATTGTCCACCGCCAGTTGATTGAGTATTAGTGTTTGTAAATGTCTTTCCATCACTAGCATGACTTTCGGAAGTAGAAATACTTGTAGCACCACCATTAAGTGTATTAGAAATTATATCCGCTAGTAAACCTAAGGTTCTCTTTTGTCTAGTATGAGACACGTCACCTGTAATAAAATAAATCATCAATTTTTTTATTATTATTATTATTAATACTTTATTAAACATTCTACAGACTATTAGCTAAATCAATAAATTGAAATAGACAATATGCCTAATAAAAATAAATCTAATAAAAAAAGAAATCGAAAAATGATTTTTTTTAAAATTATTATATACAATTGTGTTTGCTTACCAGCCGTGAAGGTGGCGAGTGAAACTGATAAGAGACTAATCACTAAAAGACTCTTCATTTTGTTTGATTATGCTTCTTACAAACTTGTCATCATCTTTTATACTTGACTCCCCACTGAATGAATTTTCAGAATTTAAAAATTAATAATTTAATTTCCTTATTTTAGAATTACAAAAATAAAAATAAATAATTCATGCTTTCAAAATGCACGATATTTTACAAAAATCAGAGTCATAATTTTATAGAACGAATCAATGATGCACTAAAACACCTGTGTAAACATGAGTCTTGCGTCTTCTGTGTGGAACTTGGTAATTCATCAAAAAAACTGCTAATTATTTTATACTCTAATCATTGTAAATACTTAAAAATAAAAGAAGAATAATTCTCAACTAAAATGAATAAATTATTCTTTAATTTAATTTTTGGTGCATGCTTAAAAATAAAACTCGATTACGTCTTTTATGTAAATTATATCTGATTTTACATTTTTTTGATTTGAAAAGAATAATTGTAGGTTTAAATTTTTTCCGAAATGCGTCAATCGCTTGACATTTATTAAATTTCTCGATTCATTTTTTTATTGTTAATAATTATTAAATATACTTTGAATATGAAAGTATTTAACAGCTTTCGAGAAAAAAAAATATTGGACATTTTTCGCGTTGGTAATGTCAGGTGGACGTTAATAAAGCCGCAAAAGGAAGCACTCTCGGATATTAAACATCGACCTCTCGACTTTTCCAATTTGAAACTTGCGCTGTTCCACGAAAAACATCCGGTTCTCAGGCTGATCGATGCGGATCATCAAAAACATTGCAACGTGAATAAAATTCGAAAAACTGAAAACTAAATTAAATATTTTGTTGAGAATTAGTTTTTTTTAAAAATTATTATGAATTTAAATTAAATATTGAATGATTTTCAAGTGACGGTGCTAAGTCGACTTTTTTCCAATGTCGAATTAAATGAATTGAATTTCGTTTCTCGGATTTCTTTATACGAATATTTGAGGGGGAAAAATGTAGATTTAAATTCCGTTTATTTGATTACCCACGTTTAATCGAACATCCGAGAAATGCTAGCACAAATCTCTAAGGAAATTTTACGACGACGTCCTTTTTCCTGTGTGTGGCATGTTCGTGTGTGATAGTATTGGCATTGACGATTAGGCAAATCGATTTAGCTTGCTTTTCGATTCACCCCAAAAAACCATTAGTTTAATCGATTTTGATTTTCGACATGAGACGACGAAATTCTTTTTCGATATTCAATTGAAAAAGAAAGTTCTCTGATTGCTTGACATCACTTTATTGCATAGTATAAAAAGTCGTATAGGTTAACCCGGTTATCTCTCACACTGCGTACCTCAAGCTTTTGTCAGAATCCAAACATGTATCCTTTACTCATCCTCTCTCACGCTAGCGATATTATTTTATGGAAATAAAGAGGTCACCTCTTCTCTCCTGTCTTCCATTTTGTTCCTTTGTCTTGTTAGCTTCACTAATGGCAAAGGCTGGTAAAATCCTGCAAAGTCGTTTGTGCTTACAGTCTACCTTTATTTGTTCCTAAAAGTATGACATCCTACGTTGATGAATTAAATTTTTTATGGATCATCACAAAGTATGAATTTTAATAGCACTTCTACATTTTGCAATTTCTTTTTACTACAAAGGATTTTTATTCAAAATTATTGAGAAGTTGAGAGATGATTAAATTTTTTCTGGAGATTCTTGAAAAAATTTATTTTCTGTAATGGTTGGAAACATTTAATATTGACAATATCAATAGCAACAGTAATAATATTAATAGTAAGGGTAATAAAACGTCATTAATCATAAGGATGATTATAAATTGAATAGAAAAAGTTTAATGCGAATTCGGGTATTGAAATGAATTCCTTTTCATTTTGTTTAATAATTGAAATTAAATTTGAGACATTTTGAAATACAATCAAGAAACAACAGGACCATACGTCGTGTAATGTATTTGGGAACAAATAGCAAACAAGCATCGACAGCAGCCCGAGGATCACACGCCGTATAATTGCGAGTGCTGGAAATTTGCAAGTAAATAGCAATTAATCAGCGTCCCCGTGAATGGATCGCCCTGTTAATTTGTCATTTCGTTCTTGCGACAATTTGCATGCTTACTGCTGCCGCCAGTGCGACATACGAAAACATGTGATGTATGGATTGAATATTGACGCCGCGGCTTGAACACGTAAATTCCATAGTAAATGAAAATATTAATGCATTGCATCAGGAAAGTTAAATATTTCACAATTCAATTCTCTATTCCAATTTCTCTCATTTCTACAACTAGAAATTAATTTTGCCTCTAAAAGTAAGTATTTAAAAATAGTATTTATAAATACTATTTAAAAATTCTATTTACAAAACAAGTTTCTAGTGTGAAAAATAAAGAATCTTTTTCTTTAAAAGCATGTGAAAAGAAATGGAATAAAAAAAGGGGAAGGAAAAAAAAACTAAAAAGTCGTGTAAATTCGTCAAAGTTCGTCCCGCCGTGGAATTTTCTATACAACAAGTTGAGGGAAAAGCGAATGGTGGAAGTTTCGATGCTTTCGAAATTCAGTGGAAATACTTGGGAAAAAGGCAGTGCGGTGAAGAAGAAAGTATTAAAAAGGTTTCGTGAAACTGCAGTTAGAGACGTAACAGTGTGTGATGCACGATCCACTTGCTTCAAAGTGCTGTCGCTTTTCAGATTCTTTCAACTAGGCGATCATATTAACCGTCGATTTTTTATTTTAATATCTCTTATGAAACTGTTTTATATTGAAGACATTTTCTAGTCCCTTGAAATATTGAGAGGAAATCTATCTTGAATATACTTCATTTTATAATGGAATAAATTTTATGTTTCCAATTCAAAATATGTTGGAAATGTTCTAAATTTAAATGTTCCTTTAAAATTCCTTTAAAGGTCCTTTAAAATTCCTTTAAAATTTCTTTAAAATTCACCATTTCTAAACAAGTCCCCGTGTCTCTAATAATTATAGGAATAATAGACTATTCAAGCTTCAGAATCTCTGTGGAAGTAGGCAGCAGTGTAAATTATGCTGCTGTAATAAGACGAGGCTCATTTTCAGTGGTCTGACGAGACATCCTATAGCTACACTCAGTGCCCTCCCTCCCCCCATCCTAATGATAATTACATTCAACCTAGCTTTTCGTCTAAACCTATGGAACGATATTCTCGGAACCTTCATGCATATGCTTAACATTTAGACTGAAATTCTCTGCGCAAATTTCTCTCCTGACAGTAACGACGAATATTTCCACAATTAATTACAATTATAATGATCCTTAATTCGTATCACTTCAAAATGACATTAAACTAATGAACACGGTTTGCAGTAGTTCTGTGGGAAAATTGGAAAAAAGTTTGTCGCAAACCCTGTGATGGTGGACAATTTAAATATATAGTTATTTTCCATTGACAAATTTCTTATTCAAATATAACATTTAATTATATCGAATTGACAAAAATAATTATTACTGAATGTCCATACATTATGTTGAAATTCTCTCATTTATATATAACAGAGTTCGATTTGAAATGAGATTTGAAATCACCTCAATTTATTGCACGATTTATGTCAAATATGAAATTTCTTGAATGCGTTTGATAATAACATGCTTTTGCATTTATAATAATTAATGCCAAACTGCTAAAAGTCATTAACTAAATATATGAAAATTTATAATTAAGTACTACTTTCCAATGAGATATTATTTTATTTGACAAGACATGGTTGTATTTAAAAATAAATTAATTAGGTGATGAATTTTAGGCAGGGGGTCGATTCTGTAACTTTTTCACTTCCCTCTTTCACTTCCCACTCACACTTTCCATTCCCTACTTTCACTTCCCACTATCGTTTTCCACTTTCAACTCCTAATTTCCACTCTCACTTTCCATTCACTTTCCATTCCCTATTTTCACTTTCCACTTTCAACTCATAATTTCCACTCTCAGTTCACATTCACTGTCCATTCCCTACTTTCACTTCCCACTTATAATTCCAATTCTTAATTTAAACTCCTAATTCACACTCTCACTTCCCACCTTACACTTTCACTTTCCATTCCCTACTTTCACTTCCCACTTTCATCTCATAATTTCCACTCTCACTTCCCACTTTTCTGTTCCATTTCATACTTTTACTACTAATGGTGAGAAAGTGAAAGTGAAAAGTGGGAATGGAAAGTGGGTAGTGAGAGTGGGAAGTGGAAGGTGGGAAGTGAAATGTGGGAAATGAGAGTGAAAAGTGGAAGGCGGGAAGTAAAAGTAGAAAGTGGAAAGTGAGAGTAGAAAGTGGGATGTGACAGTGGGAAGTGGAAAAGTTACAGAATCGACCCCCACTAAATGATTCCATAAGTTTAAGGATGAAATTTTTATTTTTTTGATAAAAAAAAATATTCCCCCCTCCAACGACCATGTGCATTTTCGCTTCAAGAGTCCTTCTTCTTTTATGATTGGCCTTGTTAGATGTTGTGGTTTCACTGCTGCATACATGAGAACTCTCAATTTTCCTCAATTTCTTCTTTGGAATATTGTCCCTTTTCTGAGGAATTCATGAATTTGAATAATGATGAAAACGACAAGCGCACAGCAATTGAGGAAAATATTACACACCTCATTATTTGCGTCTCGTTTATAGACACACAAATAATAAGAGTTTCTCTGAAAAAGAAAATTGTCGTTCACAAGATATTTATCTTCCAATAGAATAGATAATTCTAATTTCTTGAATAATTGAGAATTCCTTTTTTTTTTAAATGGATTGATGAAACAAATTAGCATTTTAGTGGTTAGAGAACGTACGCGATTTGTGGCAATCCTATCGCCACTTTCCCAACAGGATCAATATCAGCACGAGATTGTTTAATGAAATTTTCGACAGCCTCCATGTCATCATAAATCTACCACGATCAGAGATCTTGCCTATCGATTTGTGGTATGAAATGGAATTTAAACTATAAACGGGGTGTGTATTATAAATCCCAAGCTAACTCTGCTCCAACGCTGACAAAGTTATCGATATTAACGAAGATACATGACGTATTTTGACTAGTAGGGGACAGCAATATTTACAATAGTGAACCACATTCTCCATTATTTCTAGTTCACTCTCTTCAAAATCTGATTAATTGGCCTCTCGATTAATTACGATATGACAATTTAACGTATCGAAATATATTCTGTGGGTGAATTTTTCAGAAAAAAAATATGTTTTCGGATGAAAACAGATGATGATGGTCAATTTGTGATGACTGAAAGATCGTTTTTTTCGAGAGTGATAATAAAACGAAACGAGAGTGAAGCGGAGCGTATTCTGACAGAATTGGCAATTTCTTCGCAGAATATGTTTCCTTGTAAAGGTAGGAAAAAAAGTATATTTCCAGAGGGCGCTTCACACCTCGGTAATGTCAGCTTGACTCGAGAGAAGGTTTTTTGATTCTCTGGAGAAAACATGGTGCGTCTTGCAAAAGCGACCGAATAAATATCTTGCAGTTGCGGTGAAACGAAATTGAATAAACATTTTTCCGCAAATAGAGCTGACAATAGTACGAATTTAAAAGTCGCTGAGACGAGCACAGGTGGTTTGCCAGTGTGGCGCGCGACGAAATTGCATTTTCTCCCCATTTCTCTGACTCCATACAAGTTCTTTCCGTCACAGTCAAGCCTTCTTGATCTCAAACCATACCAAACGACGTGGATGATAAGCACGTCTTTCTCTTCGTCGCTGGTTACTGGTTATCTTCTCGATTCTTCTCCCAGCTCTGGTTATAAATGCTAATATACGAGTTTCGTAGGTTGGGCACACGAATATCTCGTTGTAGTCTCCCTCCTCCTTGACTTCCAATATATATACGGAACAAGTCGAGATGATGGGAGATGCAAAACGAGAGACTATCCTATTTTCTTAAAAGACGATTCCGACAAGAAATCACGTAAACCTTTAGCGTAATAATCTTTCCATATTATGCAAAATGCATATAGTATATACGCAATACCTGGACTAACCGTGAATTCACTAAATCATCTACAAAGAAGTGTCTACAAAGTGCATGGAATTTTAATTCAATAGTTAATCGATATTCTTATTTCAAATAAAGCTGACGACATTTTAACTTCTCTCTCATAAACTTACTCATTGACTTATCCTCACCACAAATTTGCTTCATTTAAAACGAAGATTTTGACGTAAATCCACACCTTCTGAAATTCAATCTGTTTTTAGATAAATTATAAATTTCCATTTTACAACCACACCAGATAAGAAAGTTATGATACATTTTATGATAATGAAGTTGTCGCGGAGTAAAACCAAATTGGAAAATCAATCTTACTTAATATTGAATTAAAACCGCTAGATTTGAATAATGAATTAGAAGTAATTACAGGCTCTCATCGTAGTAAACCTGAAACTAAACTAGGTGCTGAAGGCAGCTCCCCTTGTCGTTTGTTTCCCTCGCAAACTGTGTATACGCCGCATTACCAAAGCCGAAAGTACAAAGACCGTAATTCAACTCTTGGTTCTAATCTACTGCTCGACCGAAGCTCCTTAATCTCTTACTCTTGGGCTAAGCAAGAATACCGAATTTTGGTCGACATTGACTTATCGCACCTGAGATATTCAGTGAAATCGTCTGGAAAATCTTGGAGATCTCACTCTCGTTTTTAGATGACTTTTTTTTCCTCCTCGTCTCGGTCCCTTTGTAATTAATACCAATTCTCAAAGTTTATACTTGGAATTTTTTACTTCGTCGAGGATATTATTGAATATAACTAGTTTTCACTTTATCGTGGAGCAAAAGTAGAAATGCGAATGGAAAATAAAAAGAAAATTTCAGATTACTTCGCTGACCGAAATAAAGAAGTTAAAAGATAAGATAAGTGAGAGGCTATTGTTGAGGAAATAAAAGAATTATGCTGAACACGTAACAAAAGCAAAACACACTTTCAAGAGAAATACTAATGGTGGATAAAAGTCAGAGAGATTCATAAATTTTCAAGAAAACAAAACTTGGGTTAAAGGAAGATAGATTACGGACCCATGAGAATCATGGAGGCTCTAGAGCTGACTTTTCGAGCATTCGAAAAGTCCTAAACTACACGTACTTGAATGGTATTTAAATCAGAGTTTGGGAGAAACACAAGCTTCTCTCTCTCTCTCTCTCTCTATCTCCATCTCTCTTTCAGCGTAGCGACATTCAAATCGATATCATATGCCCCAGTGGAAATCCGCTCAAAGATTTGGAGAAACTGGGACAATTGTGCTACGTTAACGACAACGAAATCCATCCTTGCGGGGTTAACTTGGCGTTAATTTATCGTTTTGCAAGATCGATGGAAACGTTCACCGTAGCTAAACGGTTTGTGGCAGGGGCACCACCTTGGAGAACAAACTATCGGTTAAACTGCGAGTTGAACACTATTACATATATATGCATTCATGTATATGTCGATAAACCGCAGTATCAGAGACTGAATTATCTAGAGTCGATGATCGCAAATTTACTTTGTATACGTTTCCAAAGTTACCACCTTGAATATACCAATAATGGCAATATACTATAACTTGCTACAGAGCAGAGTGAGGTTTATTTTTAATTTTTAATCTCTACCTAGAGCAATTAACAGAAAGCTCTTTGCGGCATTATTATTATTATTATTATTAGAAATTATACTATTTGTTTCTAGTTAATTCCTCGTAATTGGTTATATAAACCTCCCGCTTGATATGCAAGTAACTACATATATGCTGTCCTTCCGATTTGACCACCTTTTCGAAAACCACGTCATTACCATCAGAATCGTTAGTTCGTGACTAAAATGATAAATAAAGCCACGAACTAATAACATTATGGTAGAGATGCCAAAGGTTTTCAAAAATGTATCCTAACCGGAAGACCAGCATATAAGCAGTTACCTGTATTTTAATCCCCAATCATTGCATAATACTAGATAACGATTAAAGAAACAACTATTCGTTCAAAAAAAAATTCATATACAATTTGATGTTTCTGTTTCAGATTCCTTTTCCAGTTGATTGACAATTTCATCTTAACAAGACAGCAAACAATTTCTGAATCAAGATTCATTCTATCTCCCCCAGAATGAAATATCAATTGAGAGGAATTGTATATAACTCAGTGACTCGCTTCAGTTGCTAATAATCATGAAATTGGTCTCAGTGATTGGCCTCCCACTTCAATATGATCGTATCCGAGAGAAAGAAAATACTGCGCGGGAGGAGAAAAAAGTTGCAGCAGCTTTGGAAAAATATTCATAACCGCCAATACCTCGCTTACACAAGCGTGTCGTGCGAATACTTGAGAAAATCGTGTTTGTCAGGATGAAGCCAACGCTGAAGATCTTTTCCCAACGCCTCTCTTTATATAACCAAGTCTCTCTCCACCGGTTGTTATAAGCGAAGCGTTGTCAGACAAAGAAAAAAAAACACCCCGGAAAAAAAATCCAGTGCCGCGTGGCCTTAAGTCCAAGTGAGTTAAGTGACTCGTCTGGATCCTCTTAAAATTCTCTCAGAAAAATCTCTTTTCTCGTTCGACTTTTAAATTTATCTCGTTCCATAAGAGAAAAGTGCGAGGAATGAAAAAGCGATTAAATAAAGCGCAATACTAACAATGAGAATATTCTTGAAGGTTTTACACAAATATTTACGCATAAAGCAAAGAGATGGAGTAATAAATATTTAACTAATTTTCTAGTGAAGTTCATTTTTTTTTTCATTTTGTGTACACATTCAAAAACAGCCAGATCTAAAACCACAAATCAACAGTTCCTCTCCGTTTATAATTTCGACGAATTAAAAACTGTTTCTCGTTCCGGAAACGTCTGCGCTTTTCATTCTATGAAATAAACTCTCGCGTTTGGGGGACAAAAAAACGAACAACAACAACAACAACAGTAAAATGAATAATTCATCGCACATGGGTGACGGTTATCCATGGACACGGTGACAAAGTGTCGCGATTTGTCAGAAATCGTAAGCAGAGAAAATTGAAATTAATTGAAATCGTGGAAAATTATTTGCAGAGAATATAGTAAAATGCTCAATTTAATTGGGATGTGAAGAAATTTGAGAATAGTGAATGATTGTTAGAGGGATTCGTCTCTCGTTTGTATATAACTATATATACATGTCTGTGTTTTGTAGCTTGGATTCTCTTGATCTTTGTGGCTCTATCTCCTCATCTTCAGAACATCTACTCTTAAAGAGAAGGCAGTGTTTCGTAAACGTCATTGGCTCGGGTTGTTCGTTTCTATAAATCTAACAAATGTGAGAGAGAAAAGGGGGAGAGAAAGAGAAGAGTGGCCGTGGTGAAGGCCCTGAAAGGATGGAGAAAGATAGTACTCGTCATTACAGAGCTTACGAGGGCTTGAAGGCCGCAAACAACGGCAACACGTCGTCCTATAAAACCAGTTCAGAGTCCTCTAAAGCACAGCAGAGCCAAGTAAGATGTCTGTGCTTTGGAGGTGTTCCTGACAAAGCGAGCCACCATTCCTTCCTCAAAGGTTTCATCATAAACCTCGGAATCTGTGCACTTCTCGTTGCATATACGCTTTTAGGAAGCTTCATCTTCTTGGCGATAGAAGGAGGTGTTGATAGTATTCATCAGAGAACCCTTGCAACCACCATTGCTAGTGGTAATCAGTATGGAAGGAGAAACACTACAGCTCGGATACAACAGGTAATTACTTTATCAGTAACTTCCTCTCATTACACTATTCATACATTACCCATACATATTGAACTGAATCATTTCATTGCTTTTTTCAAAGGCATATGCACTTTTAGATAGAGGCAGTATTTTATTTAATCCGCTTAGAGAAAAAAAAATCAATTCTACGTTAAATCTCAAATTTATCAATAGTCCACTATTTTTTCACACTTTCATTTTAAACTGAAATAGAAGAATGTACACAAAAGTGAACAATCGTCAATTAGAAATTTGATTGATCTTCTTGTTATTCTTTCTAGATAAACACAGAAGCGCGAGAGCGAACTGTAGAGAACATATGGGAAATAACAGTGAATTTGAACATTCTATATCGAGAGAATTGGACGAGGCTCGCAGCGCAAGAGATAGCCCGTTTTCAGGATCAGCTGGTGAAGAGGATCACCGAGGAAATGATAGCATCGCAAAGCTCTGGGACTCCCACTAAAACCTCCAACAATGATGGAGTCACCGAGCGACGAGTTCCGGAATACGAGTGGAACTTTGCCAAAGCTTTCCTCTATTCTCTCACTGTGCTCACAACTATCGGTGAGTATTAACACTCTCCTTTATAATATGCATCTAAAAGGTACCCTCACATTTCGAAATGCCCTTGACAATTAGCTACTTAGAAATCGTAAAGCCATTTCGTTATATCTATTCATTTCATATTATATGCTCACTAAATTACTGCTTTTGAAACAAAAGTTTTTACCATCATTTTGGGAAATATATTTCATTAGTCAAAATCTATTCATCTCTCATTTTAAAATAGTAAGTTATGTAGATTCTAGTCTTCAGGAAATTACCGAAAAATCAGTTCCCTATCTGGGATCAGAAATTATTATTCAATAACTTGCAAATAAAATTTACTAAGCAATTAATTCTCTACCACATAATCCTGAAACTTAGGGTCAACAAAAACAAATCGTAACTTTGTCGAATATTCTTATGAGCTGTCTTCCGGCAAATAAAAAAACAAACGGATTTATTAATGACTGTGTTGGAAAATTATTTTTGAACGAATAGAAAGAATTCCTATTTGTTTAAACTCGACTATTTTACAATTCGAGATTTTAATCGTGTCTAATATTGATCCTGGTCCTTCAAATTTCCTATGTATAGTAGGAAATAATTAATTCACCGAAGTAAATTATTTAGTCAATTTTTTAGAGTTAATGCGAAACGATTATTTGGGAATATTATTTAATTATTAATTTAATTAATTAAAATTATTTAATTTACGGACTAGAAGAAACTTGACCTTACGTTCAGTTTAGTAAATCTGATCATTAAATTTTATTTAGTATTTTATAGAAGCTTTAGTGTCTAGAAATTCGACAATTATTTGTTTACGCGAAAAGAGGGAACAAACACAAGATAAATATTATATTAATTTTATTATAAATATAAATTTATTATAACTTTTTAGGAAAATTAGAAACTGATATGTATTAGTAGAGTTTAAATAATCTTTTCGGGAAGAGAAACTTTTACCAAAAAAATAATTCAGCTATTAAGGGTTTAATTTTACATTTTTTGTTTTATTGCGTAATTATGATTTTAAAATAGAGAAGGCTGATAAATTACATGAATGAGATCTATGGACCCTAGGCACATAAATCATTTTTATCGCCACCGGTTTTCTACTGTTATTATATTTTTTTTATCGTAAATTCAACAAGCTTGCGGAAAATTTTAATCTTGAAAGTATATAGCAGCTCGTGTCATGCGAATGAGAATTCTAACACTTAAAGTATACGAAACAGATGAAATTGACATAATTGTGGATAATTATAGATCAGCTTATTCATTATTATAATTTATGCCGTGGTATATAATATTCACGAGAAATCACGCGTCAATAGCGGGGGAATTTTATGGCCTTAGTTTACAAATCCTCCGTCCCTACGAATTGAAATTAAAGCGTATTAAAATATAGCATATTTTAAGTACAAATTTAAAAAGTTTTTAAACATTTTTTAATATTTTCAATTCTTATTTTTTCTTTGTACTGACGAGTTTTAGAAGTGGATTAGAAATCTCATGTGGACATGAAGTACACCTGTACACTCTTAACACATTTATTCTATTGCTTTACAATGTCCCAATTACTTGACCGACTATAACGATATAAAATTGAATTTGCCTGCGGATGTACGAGACCAGAGGACCTGATTACTTGTATGTAATTAGTGAACTAGATCAATGGTCGACGGGGATGAAGTACACTGGTGCGAGGCATGGATAATTACTAGAAGCAAATACTATACAATTTAACTCTCGAGGTCTGCGACGTTTCGTGTTGCCTGAAGGTTTCTATTTGAGTCGCTGGTAGTATTTAACAAGCTAAATGCTGTGCGCGCCAAATGACTGATTCGTGCACCTTGTTAGATCTTACACTCATCTTCTTGTTCTCCCCTTGCCTTTTCAATTCAATACAGAGTTGCCTCTGTCGCGAATCTTAAACAAATCTATCTCCAGTTGATAATATTTCATCAAAATATTAATTTAAAATGGAAAATGTTCTCGAAAATGCAAGAGATGAAAAAATGGAAAGAATAAAAGAATAGCTCAAAAATAATCTCATTTTATAAGCTGATTGGTGTTACTAAATAAACTTATTCAAATTCCAACCATTTTTAAATCTCTTTTGACAGAAACTGTTTGGTTTTTGTATGCTTTCATCCCTTTGTGATCCGAGTACGAAAATGCTTATTCCATTTTAAAAAGAATTTCTCATTAATCCCTTGATTTTCGAAAGTTTCATGTGATGTTTGTGAAATTTTAACTGCTTTATTGTGGAACATGATATTTTATTGGCCTCTCTATGACCCACTTTAATATCCTTTAGATGTTGCAACAAAAGGAGAAAGTTGACATAATTTTTTTATTCATAATTACAAAAGGAAAATAGTTTTCAATTAAAGTTTAAAAATAGTTTTGAAAATAGTTTTCATTTTTATCAGATTAAAAAGTGGGCTTTTTTATTTTTATTTATTTTGCACAAAATGATGAGTAAAAAACGTAATCTATAAAAGATATTTTTACCACCGGCGTCGAAATAATATCGAAATGGTCTAAACTTTGATTTTAAGGATCGAAGTAAACGGATCGAGTGTAAAATTGAGAAACTAATACAGTGGGAACAATTTTCAGTGGAGGAGAAGTTTAATATTAGTGTTGTAATAGTAAGCACAAGTATTGTCAGTATTCCGAGAGCGCAGTTTAAAGGAATCCCTTGCAACAATGGCCAACTGCAAAGCTATCGAGCAGAACATTTAGGCCGAATGACACCACATTCGATCGTATACTCTGGTTATTATCGGCACAGATTGAACGTCCATGATTTTCAAATGTGTAGTTAACATGCTTTGTTTTCCACCTAACAATATCAATTTGTTACAATTTTTATAAACGAACATTAAAAGAAATTTCACCGAATTTCCCGGCTTTAAATTTTATAATTTTTTTTCAAAAGGTAATTTTTGTTTGACATTCTTGGACAGCAGGTTTAATCGAATAACAAACATTAAAACTTTGTTGAATTTGAATTGACATTAAACAAAGTTCTACACTACGGAAGTTTTTGCCAAAAAGACACTGGTCGAATAGTAATTTGGAATTTGCGCAGTAATTAGACTTTAATTGCTTAATTAGCAGGCGTCGACATTGCTGTATTAGTGTCACAAGCAAGCAAGTCACCCAAAGATGTAAACGAATTGGTTTCAATTTTAACAGTCAACTCCTTACGAAGAGCACACTCAAAGTAGGTCGTTAACAAAAATTTCCCTGTCGAGCTAGCCTCAAAAGTTCACAGTTGAATTTGAATTCTGTCTTCGTGTCCCATAAGACGTGAATCGACGTTAAAAATTTCCAACGGAATATGAGAGATACCACTCCTTTCCTCAACTCTGCAGATAAAACTTCGTTAGAGGGCAAAAAATTCCCCTGACAGTGATGGCAATTATAAAAGTATTTAAGTTCTTGTTAATTCATTTTTTTCCACTTATTGAAACGTTTCTAAAAAAACTTTTTGTTTTAATTATAGGTCTGAATATAACTGTTACAACTCTGAAAGAGTAGATCGGCAACTTTGACCTATTCTCTCCCTCCATTTTTTTCTTCTCTTTCTAATCTGTTAATCGAGGGAGAGTCTCCAGCAGAAGTATTGCAGTTTAAATCTCGGTAGAAAGAGTTACGTCATTATTCGTTACCATTTTGAAAGAGAGATGCATGACAAATATTAAAAAAAGGGTTTTATTAATGACTGTGTTGGAAAACTATTTTTAAACGAATAGAAATAATTTATTTTTGTTTCAAAACTCGAATATTTCACAATTCGGGATTTTCTGGAAAAAAAGAAAAGAAATCCAGTTCCATTAATAATGATAATCCACTTGAACGATAATTTAGAAAGCAAAAGAGATATAAAAGAAACATAAGGTAGAGCGAGAGTTGTGGGACTGGGAGCAAATTAATTCGTTCCTAGAGTCCACCTGCTTTAATGCTTTCTTCTTTCTTATTCTCATCTTTTGCTGTGGAAAGCCACTCAAGTTTTTATAAGTCGTCTTGTCCCCCACCCCTGTCAATACCACGTTCTCCCTTTTTGCGACAGTTAATTACGAAAAGTATTGCGCTGCTTTTTATCAGGTTGCCACAGAATGAAAATATTGTTCCGTGAGGGAAAACTCGAGTCGTTCGTATTCTAAACAGCTTATCATTCGCAAGGAACTTTCTATGTGTATATATACGTGGCTACTGAGTTGTTAAAACTTTTTCCCTCCAGGGTACCCTTAAGTGAATCGATATGCATTTCTAGCCACTTGGACATTATGACGTTATAAGGAATTTTGAAAAAGTTTTTTAAGAATCTTTTCAATGGATCATTAACTGTATCATTCACAAAGATTTTCAATACCGAACCGAAGAGTTTTAAATTTTTGATTAACAATTATAATAATAATTATTTATCAAACATTAATATCTGCAATAATAATACCCAAGGGATTCAAAGTAATGAAATTACAATTTATGCAGTTGGCTTTATTACATATTTCGAAAATTAATTAACATATCTACTATACTGTGAATACATTTTCCTTTAACTGATGAGTAATTAAATTATTGATTTCAAATTATTTCAATTATTACCCAGTTTATTTTTTTAAAGCAGAAAAATTTGTGTCATTTTTTTAGAAAATCTTTTTCACGTCTTCAATCAGTTCCCCTTTTATTTTAGAGGGAGAATTCCTTACATTGACAAAACTCACATCATTCGTTAGTCCGCTTCATTTCACACTTGTTTAGGTTGGATCGAAATAAATTCGCATTTTTCGTGACCGCAATTTCACTCAAGCAAAAGTATCACAATGAAAATTGTGGATAAATCGATAAAAGTAAAAGTCTTAAATCACAAAATGTGAGTTAGCTTAAGAACGTGACTTTTCCACACAGAACATTGATACTGATAAGATTGATTGATCATTCTCTCAAAGATCTTTTCCTTGAATTTCTAAGAAATGGATGAGAGAGAAAATAACTGATGT